TTAGTTTAATTACGTTTATGATGATGATGTTAAGGTCCATTGAACATCTACCTTGTTGGCTTCGGGTCATGTTCACTGAACCTTAACAACTATCAGTATAAATTAGGATTAGTTCTCATTTAGGTTTAGTTTACTTCAGTCCCTGAAGAAGGTAACTTTGTTACCGAAAAGTGCTTCGGACAACTACAGTGTCGTGTTTTGGCGTTGGGGTTTTGAGCTATTCTGTTTGTTCTACAACAACCGCCAAAGTTTTTCCAATCTTCATATTCAGGTTGTACTGCTTATTTTGGTTTCGTTGAAGATAAACTGATATCGAAACTAGGTACGATTGTTTTGCTAGCACGAGGCCTTCTTTAGGTAATTAAATACCAAAAAATTACTGGATATATTCCAGCATATCAGAAGGACATTGAAGGATATCATGAAAAAAACATGAGAGATATCATGAGGATATCAAGAAGCAGAAGGGATGTCAGAGAGAATCGCAGATATTACTGTAACTCAAATATAATTGTGAGAATAGAAGAAGAATTCTGAATGAAAATCAAAGAATTAGGAGAAATTCAAGGAAATTCCAAATATTGCTTTTAAAGCCTCGTATACCTATTACTCCTCGTGAAATACGATATTCATTCTCTGATTAAACTTTCACGTTAGCTAAACAATTTTAAAGTATTAATTAAAATTCTTGAAACCATAAAACCATACTGTTTACGGTTTACATTAAAGAATGAAAACGAACTTTTCTTTTGTTGCTGGTAAGAGGAAGGGGGAGTCCTCTAAGAAAATGATGTTCTGAGTCACTGCGAAGGAGGAGGAAGTACGATTCCTGAGAAACGTGATTTGTTATTGTTAAAAATAAATAAATATTTTCATTAATGCCCACCATGGAAGAATAATCACCAGAAAAAAATCGTTGCCTGTTACAGTAAATACTGCGAAGATTACCTGGTAATGTATATTTAATATTAGAAAGAACCAAAATTTGGATGTAGGGGGTAATTCTCGAAACTACTCATTCGATTGCAAAAATTCTTCCAATATTTATAAAGGACCTTCAGGGTAGACATAGGTTGGATATTTTTTTTTAAAAGGTTTTCGTGAAGACCAATCGTTCGAAGTATGAAAACATATTGAACAAAAAATTTTCACACTTCACGTAAACTACAAGATAATTAATTTGAAAACAAAGTGAATATATTGCTGATATTAAAAAGACATATATCTTTCTTATGATAGAATACGTAAATTATTTCTACCTTCCGAACTTATTTTTTGGCTAAANTCCGAAGCACTTTTCGGTAACAAAGTTACCTTCTTCAGGGACTGAAGTAAACTAAACCTAAATGAGAACTAATCCTAATTTATACTGATAGTTGTTAAGGTTCAGTGAACATGACCCGAAGCCAACAAGGTAGATGTTCAATGGACCTTAACATCATCATCATAAACGTAATTAAACTAAACTAAATAGCGGAGATCCAGGGATGGGACCGTTGTCATTGTTAAGAACAATTTGTTTATTTTTATAAATGTATAAACTTTCAAAACTGTTTAGTAAACGATTATTCCTAACTTCTTTAACTAACTTAAGGTTATTAATATTAATATTATGTCCATCAGTAAGAATATGTTGGGCAACACTAGATTTTTCTTCTCTACCAAACCTAGCATGAGCTAGATGTTCTTTAAATCTGGTTTTGATTGAACGTCTAGTTTGTCCAATATATTTTTTACTACAGTCATTACAACTAATTTCATATATATATGTTTTGGCGTTGGGGTTTTGAGCTATTCTGTTTGTTTTAATTAATAATATAAACCAATTGCTTCTGTGAAAAATCAAAGTACGAATACGATCTGATCATCTTGCTTTTGTATTGAATAATTTTAGTTCTAACGATAATCCTTTTCGTTCATATTAAGTTTTATAAATTTTAAATTGAATTTGAATTTTTTATCCGCGAACTAAATGGGGTCAATTACCCCATTTGCCCTTATCGGGTTACCTACCATTTGTCCGTCACACATGCTAAGAGCAGCAGTTTTACTCCTGTACAAGCAATTCCTTATTTCATGATGATTAATTGGTAATATGTTAGATTTGTTTTGAAACGTTTCCAACACCAAAAACTCTGGAGAAAGAATAGTAGTTACGGGGACCAAATCCAGGGAAAAATTAACATTGATACTGGGAGATTTTAGCAGTACCCGTTTCGATGAAGACTCGTCTTCTTCTTCAAATGTCGCAGAACGACGAACTTTACGTTTTAAAATTTCAGGAAATACAATTGAGTACGAAGGATCTAAAAATATATTAACGACAAAGTTTTATAAAAAATGCACTAAAATGTGTATGGAGCATATCTAGGTGGTAGGTGTATAGAAAAGATGAAAGAAATTGTGTATGTTGACATAACAATGGCAAATGTTTTCTCTATTCGTAACGGTTTTGCTCTATTGGTTTAAAAAATTATTAGGTTGTAAATAAAAATTAGTCAGTCATTGTCATTAAGATTTTCCGGTGCAACGACTGGCCGACCTATATTTCACACTGTTGTATGATGACTCTTCCTTAAATTCATTTAAAGAAGAACAGGCATGTAACTATAGGAAGTAGTAGAAACAATAAATACACAATATATTCTTACTTCTTGCGCGAGGCATTACCTAAACTTCATTCGCAATATTAATGTGAAAATTCGTTTTCGAATTTTTATCCAGTACAAAGTTAATGAGGGAAAAGAATTGGTGCGTAAAGCCAAAGGTCCCGGTTACATCCCATTTCTCAATATATAAAATTCATCCCTGTATAACATGATGGGGTAGTTATATCTTAAAATAAAAAATTCCCTTCTTTATAACAGACCCGAATCAAAACAGCATCGGTTAGGTGTTCAAGTTTTTCTTCAACTCGTTAATTTAGGCTTCCTACTCTGAAGTTTCTATTTACGTTTTAGCAAATAATTTTGGGAGACAAACCTCGGAACATTCTGTACATCTCTCATAAATAAAATTTCTCATTTCCTTTACAAATACTGAATAACACTTACGGCATTCACCATTGCCAAGACAAATCTAATTAGTTCTCTTTCGGTGTTGTTTGGAAAATAGTTCTTCATGTGGGTGAAGAGATCTTTATCTACGAACACGGCAGTCTCTACAAAAACTGGGCTTCCTTGGTCTTGGCCCACTTCTCTCTTCTTTCTATGTAAATCTGATGATGACTGTTCTTGTCGGCAGTCGTTCCCATCATCATCACACGCTTTATGATCTGAATCCATTCTATTTTTTACAATAGACTGCTGTTTCTTCTGTTGCTGCTGCTGCTTTTCAAGTTCGTCTGTTGTTGTAATTTTAATTGCTGTTTTGATTCCCAGCTCCAAATCAGATGGGTGACTACAGTTTGATAACAATTCTCTACCGCGCACGCAGCTATGTGGGTAACGAGTGGCGTGAGTGTTGGTGTAGATATCACGAAAGGGTTTACGGATTAGCAAATGAGGATTTGTACTTTCGTTTTGAAATTGCTTAGGCAATGGTCGTATTAGATAAGTTTCCTCTTTGTTATGGTGGACAATACCCGTCTACGAGAAAACAAAGAAAATGGCTTTGTAGAATATTGTTCTCTAATTCATGATAAAAAGAAATAAAATATTAGCTAACCTTAATTAATAATATGAAGATTGGAAAAACTTTGGCGGTTGTTGTAGAACAAACAGAATAGCTCAAAACCCCAACGCCAAAACACGACACTGTAGTTGTCCGAAGCACTTTTCGGTAACAAAGTTACCTTCTTCAGGGACTGAAGTAAACTAAACCTAAATGAGAACTAATCCTAATTTATACTGATAGTTGTTAAGGTTCAGTGAACATGACCCGAAGCCAACAAGGTAGATGTTCAATGGACCTTAACATCATCATCATAAACGTAATTAAACTAAACTAAATAGCGGAGATCCAGGGAT